GTCGTGGCTCGGGTTGCGGTCGCCGACAGCAGCAGCGGCGACACGGCGCCGGCCTCGAGCGGCTGGCTGAGCATGTTGGAGGCCAGGCCGTTGACGACGCCAGCCAGCGCCAGCTGCTCGCTCGAGCCCGGGTGCGACGACAGCGCGAGGAGCAGCGAAAGGACGGGCGTGATGAACAGCGGGTGGTGGGCCGAGTTGGGCGAAGGAGAAGAAGAGGCGGCGGCGCCCATCAACGAGCCATCGCGCGCCGTGCCGTCGAAGCGAAGCACGGGTGCGCGGCCGAGCAGGTCGATGGCGACCTGGAAGAGGCGCTCCGACTGCACCTGGGCCAGCCACGCGTGCGGCACGAGGCCGACGTCGGTACGGATGACGAGCTCAAACAGGCTCACGAGCAGGTCCAGGTCGTCTTCGAGGCTGCGCGCCTGGTCGGTGGCGGCCTGGCCGCGCTGGATGCAGACGAGGCAGTTGGTCATCGAGATGCGCAGCGAGGCAATCGTGTGGCGCGCAAAGGCGTCCATCGCGCGGTGGAGCGCCCGGTGGACCTCGACGCCGCTGCTGCCGTCGGTCGAGGTCGTGCTCGCCGCCAAGGCAGCCGCAGCCGCAGCGCCTCCGTCCTGGCCCTGCAGCCACCGGCGACACTGGACGGCCGAAAATACGGCCACGTCGAAACACGCCCGGTGGAAGGGGGGCGACACGAGGCCCTGGATGCTGTCCTCGATGCTGAAGATCGAGTGGCCCAGCAGCCGCGCGGCCAGCTCCGACACCTCGACGATGCGCTCGCCCTGCACCTTCTGGCCCGCATCTCGCCGGCCCCATGCCGTCTCGATGACGACCGAGAGGAGCTCGACGCGGGCGGCGTGGATGCCACGCATGACGTCGCTCTCGAGAGTCTCGTCGACGGCGATCCGGGCGCACGCGGTCCAGGCGGACATCAGCGCGTCTTGGAGCTTGTCGGCGGTGCCCTTGGCGACGGCGGCCGTCACCAGGCGGCCCATGGCGGAGCGCAGGCTCTGTGTCCAGGCGCGGATCATGGTGGCCTGGACGTCGAGGGCGGTCCACTCGAGGTTGATGGTGGCCACCGCCAGCACGCCCTCCTCGAGCGACTCGAGGTCCGCGACGTCGTCGTCGCTCAGCGTCTCGAAGAAGCCCTCGAGCTTCCGGCGCAGCGCCGCCACGTCAAAGACATAGTCGTCGCCGTAGCGCCGGCCCGAGTCAAAGTCGTCGCGCCGCGCCGGGTGGCGAAGAGCGGCGAGGTGGACCGTGGGGAAGAGCTCGGCCAGCTTGCGCTCCGACTCGTACTGCAGGGCCGGGTCGCAGTAGGTCTTGAACGACGCCTCGAGCGCCGAGCGCAGCTTGTCGCCGTCCGACAGGAGCGAGAGCATCGTCGACAGGCTGGCCGCCTCGCCTTGTTGGCGGTTCCGGTTCCGGTCGCCGCCGCTGCCGCCGCCGACGATGCCGCCGAGCTGGATGTCGCACTCGAGCAGCCGCAGCGCGCGGGCCTGGCACATCCTTCGGTGGGCATATTCGCGCGCATCGACGTCGGAGTCCGTACGTCGGGCACCGTCCTCGAAGACGAACCCCTCGGGGATGCCCGGCGGCGCATCGGCCTCGGCGGTGGCCAGGTCGGCCAGCGCCCGGAAAAAGTCGGTCCGGGTGCGCACCGGCTCAAAGGCGGCGCTGTGCTCGGCGGCGTGGGTCCAGGCGATGTCGAGGAAGCGTAGGATGGACTCGAGCAGTGCCGGGTCGTTGCGGAGCAGCTCGGCGCCGATCAGCACGGCGTCCGAGGCCACCTCGAGCGCGGTGCGGTCCAGCGCCTGGCCGTAGCTGCTCGAGACGGTAAACACCTTCGACGCCCGGTTGTCCTCGGCGTTGCCCGCGTTCTTGGCGGCGTTGTCGACGCCGTCATCGCGCGCCTCGGTCAGCTGGAACTCGGTCGTCTTGGCGAGGTGGCGTCCCGTCAGGAGCAGCGTGGCCAGGGCGGGCTGGGTGTCGACGATGGCGGCCAGCATCGTCCAAACGTCGGCGCGCAGGCTGGCGTCGAGGTAGGTGTTGCCGACGAGGTTCACCAGCCCGGCGACGGTCGATTCGAGCTCGGCGATGGTGCCCAGGTGGCCGACCAGCCCGGGCACCGGCTGGCCGTGGGCGGCAACGTCGGCCGTCGAGCGGCAGACGGCCGTGATCAGCCGGGACGCCTCGGCGCTCAGGGTCGCCGAGATCGGCAGCAGGACGTAGGACATGACGGCGCTGGCCAGCTCGACGCGGGCCGACTTGCGGCCGCCGCCCGACACCGAACGCATGGCCACGGCGGCGTGGTCAAAGAAGAGGCGCTCCAGCAGGCCGAGCTCGACGCGCGGAGCGGCCGCGGCCTTGGCTTGAGGGGCGGATCGAGAGGCTGCAGCGGCGGCGGCGGCGGCGGAAACAAGGTCGCGCCTGCGCGAGACGATGAGCGTGGCCAGCTGGAGCGAGGCGAGCACGTAGTCCTCGGCCAGCGCGGCATCCGACGAGCAGCCGGCGCGATGCAGCTGGTCGACGAGCTGCTGCCCGGAGCCGAGGGCGCTGACGAGGGGCGCCAGAGAGAGCATGCTGGGCGCCGTGACGAGCGCACGCTCGAGGGCGTCGACAAGGCTCGAGGCTGGCCCGCGCCGCTCGAACCCTTCGGCGCTGGGCTGGCTCGACACCTTCCAGCTGGTCTCGGACAGCACCAGGCGGAAGAGGGCGGTGCAACGGCGCCCGATCTCGAGCTTGTCGCGCAGCCGGACGTAGCGCCAGCTCTGGTACTCGGGCCACACCGACTCAAACACCCACGCCAGGCCGCGCAGGAGCACCGAAGCCTTGACCTCGAGCAGGTCGGCGGTCGAGACAAAGTGCGACCGCCGCATCTCGAGCACCAGCGCCGCGAGAAAGTCGAGGAGCGACAGCAGGCCCGGGTACGACGCGCGCGACGTCTCGTGCGCCAGCAGCACCGACGGCGTCGAGGCCGACGCCGAGGCGATCGTGGCGGCGTCGCTCGAGGCGCGCGAGACGTACGAGAGCGAGCCCGGGCTGCCAGTGAGCAGGTTGGAGGACCGGACCGTCTGCCAGATCTCGTTGGGCATGTACGGCAGCAGGATGCTGAGCAGCTTGTAGGCGACGTCGACGAGGCGGCTGTCGATCGGCGTGCCCACGAGCGTGTGCTGCAGCAGGTGGATGGCGACGGCGGCCAGGTCCCTGGACCGGCCCGGCTGCCGCGGCTGCCGCGCGCCCGAGATGGCGCCCATGGCGCTGTCGCCGTCCAGGTCGCCGCCGTGCCGGAGGGAGGTTAGGGCGCGGTCGTCGCCATCCAGGTGCGCCAGCAGGCTCCACGCCAGCTTGGAGCTGGCCGACAGCACGCTGGCAAAGAGCTCGAGCGCCTCGGCCGCCACCTCTTCCCACGGATCATCGGCATTGACGGGCGCCAGCTTGCTGAAGTCGGCCGCCGTGGCTGCTCCGGGCCGGTCGCCGTCGACGCCATTGCTGTCGTCGTCAAACACACGGCTGTCATCGCCGCCTCCGCCGTTGCCGTCGTAGCCCGCAGAGGAGAGGTAGGGCGGGAAGCCGAGGAGGATGTCGCGCATCAGCTTCCACGCGCTGATCGGCGTCGTCGGCGTCCAGAGGACGATGACGGGCGTGGCGCCAATCTCGGAAATGGCGGAGCCGGTGATGCCCGCGGGCAGCCGGACGTGGGTGCCCGCCACCTGGACGGGCCGCGTGACGCGGTACGAGACCGACACGTAGTCGCCGCCGTCGACGGCCTCGTAGGGGCCGCCGATGAGGTTGGGCAGCACCTGGGCAAACGTGGGCACCTGGGCGAGGAACTGAAACGCCGCGGCGCACGCCTGCTCGACCGGGGGCGAGCGTGCGCCCGCCTGGAGCGACGAGGGCCACGATTCGAGCGCGTCGGGGCGGGCGTTGCCCGTCAGCGCCTTGACGAGGCGCAGCAGCGGCCGGAAGCTGACGGGCCAGCGCCTGCGTGCCGTGTCGATGGTGGCGCACCGCGAATCGTGGTGCGCGTCGATCTCCCAGAACTGGACACAGAGCGCAGCGATGCCCTCGAGCGCCGTCGGGCTGAGCTCGGTGGCGACGCCCGAGCCAAAGGCGGCCTCCCACAGCGCGACGAGCGCGTCGAAGTCGGGCAGGAACTCGGGCTTGATGAGCTCGGTGACGCTGAGCAGCAGGCCCTTGAAGACGGCGCGGTAGGCAAGCGCCGAGGGCGCCGAGACGGCAAGCGCGGCGGTGCTGTTGCTGGTGGCCAGCAGCGGCGACGCGAGGATCGAGACCATGGCGGCGAAGAGCGATAGCTCGGGCGCGAACGCCGCCTGCGCCAGCCTTCGCCACACGGGCGGGCCTCCGTCGTCGATCCGCACCACGTCGGCCAGCGCGGCTATGTGGGCGGGCAGCCTCGAGCTCGAGGGCGCTGCTGGCCTCGCCTGCGGTTCATCTCCGGGATTGTCGCTCGCAGGTGCCTGCTGCTGCATCTGCTGCTGCTCATGGTGCTGCTGCTCATCGGCGGCGGCGGCCAAGGCGTCGTCGATACGGTTGAGCACCAGGGACCAGGCCAGCAGAACGGGGGAGCGGCTTGGGTCGTGGCCCGTCTGCTCGAGCAGGTCGAGGGCTTCGCCCAACTTGGCGGGGTCCTCGACGAGCCTGTTGCCGCTGGCACCGTTGCTGTAGGGGTTCTGGTGATTGCTGTTGACGCTGCTGCGGTTGGCGGCGACCGACGACGACATGCTCGAGTGGAGGTCGATGCCGTCCATGGCCTCCTCGAGCGCGAGGCTCTCGACGCCAATGAGGACGAGCAGGTGGCCGATGCACGTGACGAGCTCGACGGCCTCGTTGTCAAAGAAGCCGCCGTTGGCCTGCTGCCGGCCGGCGTCGGTGTTGTGCAGCGTCTGCAGGATGCGGACGATGAGCGTGGGCGACGCCTGGATGCGGCCGTAGAGGAGGAGGAAGACGACCTCGAGCAGGCCGAGCTGCTCCTTGAGCCTCTGCTTGGCCCAGAAGCCCGAGTAGCGCGGCTGCTCGCGCACGTGGTCCGGCAGCGGCTCGGCGACCATGGACTCAAAGTCGTCGAGGCAGGCGAGGCCAAAGGCCTCGTCGGCGAAGAGGACGAGCACGTCGCAGGCGAGGTCGTAGAGCTCGTGCGACGGGTCCTCGGCGATGCGAAAGAGGGAGCAGACGGTGCGGAGGATGTAGAGGCGCTCCTCAAAGTAGAAGACGTTGAACGCGTCGAGAAAGTCGGAGACGACATCGTCGGAGCCGGCCGCCGACGCCTTCCCCTTCACGCTCGCAGCGAGGAGGGATGTGCTACGGCCGAGGCCTGCCGACGGAGCGACGCTGGCGGCCCGCGATGCGCTGCCGTCGGCGGATGCGCTCGGGCGAGAGAGGAGTTCGAGGCTGCGGTCCTCGCTATCGAGAAAGGTGCGGAGCAAGACGAGCGAGTCGATCTCATCCAGGTCGTAGCGCTGGGCGATGGTCTTGGCGAGCTCGCGCTGCTGGTCGTCGAGCTTGATGGATGCGCCCGAGCCGAGGGTGACAGAGGCGGCGGCGAGCTTGCGCTTGGATGCGTCGCTGGGTTTGGCATAGGGGTCGGCGCAGCGCTGCAGCCTGCGCTTGTTGGAGCGGAGGAGGGCCTCGAGCTCGTCGGTGCCGCGCTGGTGCCGCGCCAGCTCAAGGTGGTCGTAGATGTCGCGGAAGGAGCTAAGGTCAAAGGGGGGTCAGATTGCAGCGAAGGCGCGCAATGGAGCAAGTGCGGGGCAGGGGAGCAGCAGGCGCAGTGATGTTTGCGTCAGCACGGTTGACCTGTCGGTCCGCGAGGGAGAATGCCATAGCGCTCGCAATGCCCCCGGCGGGCATACGTGCCGGTACCTACATGAACGCCTCTGAGCTAGCATCCTTTGCGGCTGAACTTGGCGCCTTGGAAGACGAAGGGCCGGCTTGGGCCGTCTGGGATGCCTGCAACACCATGGCGGGGGCGGTCGATGAGGAGCGTCGGGATGACCAGGCGAGGTTGAAGGAGCGAGGAGCCAAGCTCGAGATGTTGACCTTTGAAGTGAGGAGATGGAGGGCAGAGCAGCCTAGATCCGCAGCATCAGGGCGAGGGGGGCAGTGACGTGCAGCGTATCCGGAAGCGGGCGATGGCCAGATGGGCGGCGGAGGTGTCGATGCTGGCTCCACAACGGAGGGCGAGCGTCGTGGCGGTGGGAATGCGGTGGTCGCCGATGCTGTTGGTTGTACGCCCTGCCGATGATGATGGCGATGGCGATGGGTGGTGGTGGTGGTGGTAGTGGTGGTGGCCAAGAGACGAAGAGACGAGGTGGAGTTGGTCTGCCGCCCGCCGACCGCGTCGAAAAAGTCCAAAGCGCCCGCCCGTCTTCCAGAGAGGCCAGCGGGCTCGCCCACGGCCTGGCCCGCTGGGGCCCACCCTGGCTCGCCCAGCCCAAACAACCACCGCAGGCAACAGCTAGCTCGAGCTGGCTGCGCATCGCGCGCGCGATCACCCCAACCCTCGCCATTCGTCTGCTCGACATCACGGGCCATAGAGTCTCCCTCCATGCCCCGCCAGCAACCAGCCTTCGCTCCGCCAGCAACGGGTAGCGGTCGCATAACCACCGCGCGCCACGGGGGCCGACCCGGCTCGCGGGCTTCAGCGATCAACGGAACGTGGTCATTACGCAGCAGAGGATAGATAGGTCGCGGCGGGGAAAAGGGATAACGGGGCGCTTCGTAAGTTGGATAGACGGAGGAAGACAAGTCGATCAGGAGCCGAGACAGGAATCTAGAAGCCAATGTGTAGGTTGTTATCGATACAGAGGGAGTCGGGGGAGCGCGGAATCGAGGACGGACGGGGCGGGGCGGGGCGGGGCCGACGTGGGTCGGGAGAGGTCGTATGCGGGAGTCTTGGAGAGGCGACGGGATGGCGAGGGCGAATTTCGTGGCAGATGAGGCGGCGCGAAACGGAAAGGGAGAGGGAGTTCGAGGGCCGGGATCGGCGAGGCGCGACCGGGCAGGGTCGCGTAGGAGCGGCGGACGACGACGAGCGACTGCGCCTACTGCTTGCCGCCGCACTCTTTGGGCACGGCGTGGCCGTCGGTGCGCTTTCCTCCGCCCCAGGGCGTGCGCCCAATGACGCGCGCGTCGGTGCCCAAGCCGCGCTTGGCAAACGCCTTCCACAGCAGGCACTTGTTCTGCCCGCCCGTCAGGTGCTTGTCGGCCTGGATGATGGCGTCGCGCGCGTCAAAGAAGCTCGGGCGGCACGGCTGCAGCTTCATGCCGTCGAGGATCAGCTGCACCAGCAGCGTGTTGCCGTGGCGCGGCACGCGGCGCTGGCTGATGCGCCTGTGCGCCCGCGGCGCCAGCTCGGCCTCGCTGAGGAAGAAGGCGTCGTGCTCGTCGCGCGTCGCGTTCGTCGCCGGCGGGAAGAGGGTGCGCGAGAAGCCGTGCTGCGCCGTCAGCGCCTCCTCGGCCTCGTTGAGCATCGTCGCCCACACCTCGCCGATGGCGTGCACGCCCCAGTAGCCGCCCCGGTCCAGGTACGCGTACGTCTCCGGGTTGACCGTCGTGTTGGTCGAGTAGGGGTAGTTGCGGATGCCCTTGACGCGGTTCGACGCCCACGAGCCCATCGGCCAGTCGTGCGGCTTGGGTCCCGTGCGGCGGATGATCGAGGCCAACACGTCGCCCCAGCCTTCGCCCATGCCGCCCGCCTCGCCCCAGCCCAGGCAGCCGCTGTTGGCCGGACCGCCCGTCAGCCGCGTAGAGAGGCCGTGGCTGTACTCGTGGATGACGATGCCCGCCTCAAAGTCGCCGTCGCGGTACGGCGTCGACTGGTCCCACACGTACATCCGCATCCGCCCGCGCTGGCCGTCGGGCGGCGTCATAAAGTCGGCATTGTCGGTGCCCGCGCCGTCCTGGGCAAACGCGATGACGCCGTCGCCGTCCTGGCCGCCGCGCCCAAAGTTGTGCTCCTGGAAGTTGCCCGACACCTCGTCGAACCCGTAGGCGTACAGCATGTCGTGGAACTCGTTGATCGTCACAAAGAGCTGCACCACGGCGGCGGCGGCGTACCTTTCGGGCGACAGCTCCGTATGGTTGCGCTCCGCCTTGCGCCACGGGTACGGATAGTCGAAGAGCATGTCGGTGCCGTCGGCCTCGCTCGACTTGCCCTTGGGGCGGTGGAGGTTGCCGGTGCGCCAGTCGCCGTTGCCCGACAGGTCGGCCTGGGCAAACACGTTGTTGCCGCGCGTGTCGCGGTAGACGGTCTGCTCGCCGTCGGCGGCCACGGTGCGGGCGTCGTCGGCCTCGAGCGAGTCAAAGGGCGACTTGCTGCCGGGGACCGTGTGCCAGCCCGACGGGCTCGCCTCGCCGTAGCGGATGCCGCGCTCGTAGGACCGCTTGCCCTCGGTCGGGTCGTTGAGGCCCCATCGGAAGACCTTGTACAGCGGGTCGTGGGACATGGGCGAGGGCGGAGAGGCGACTTTGCTGCCGGTGCCGGGGATGCGCCACTTCCAGCCCTTGCTCGTCGCCTTGGCCTTGTTGCCGACGCGGCCCTGCGTCTGCGTTCGCTGCTCCTTCTTGCTCTTGCCCTTACCACCGTAGCCGCCGAAGTCGGGCCGGCCGAGCTCCGGGATGGCGTCGACGCCGTCGACGTGGCGGCTGCGCGGCATGCTGTGGATCCAGTCGACGACGGTGCTGATGCTGCCAGGGCGCGTGGCGTCGACGTAGGTCTCGTAGGCGTTGTCCTCGAGCGGCACCTCAAACTTCCACACCAGGTTCAGCTCGCCCGACTCGGCGCGGACGTAGGCCAGGCGGGCCGACACGGGCCCCGTGGCCGTGGGCACGTTGTGCAGGTACTCGACCTGGGCGTGCGAGGGCTGCATGCCGGACGCCGTGGCGCCGCCGTGGGGCTGCAGCTTGTGTTCGAACGTGGTGAAGATCTGCGAGGCCTCGGTCTCGGCGTGGTCCGGGTTCGACAGCTTGGCCGCCAGCGCGTCGTCGGGCGTGGCCTGCTGCAGGAAGTAGACGAGGGCGAGGCGCGGGTCGACGATGGCGTCGGCGCCTGCGCTCGACGAGCGCGACGACGACGACGCCGAGGGCGATGCCGCCGCAAACGAGCCCGAGAGGCGCGAGCCGAGGTCGGCGCCCTGGAGGAGCGGGTCGTCGGAGGGCACGCTGCAGAGCTCGTGGAGCTCCTCCTGCATCGGCAGCACGCGCGCCGGGTCGACGCGGGCCCGCATGGGCGCGCGCAAGTTGGCGGGCGCGCGGTCCATGGCGTCAAAGACGATCTGGTGGGCGCCGCCGCGGAGCATGGCGTCTTCGGCCTCCTGCTGCTGCTGCTGCTGCTGCTGCTGGCCCTCGTCGGCGTGGCCGGGGAAGAGGAGGTCGCCGAGCTCTGCGCGCAGCTTGTCGCAGTGGGCATCGAGCTCGTCGTCGGATCGGACCCGCTG